CACATGGACAGTCTCCAGTCCATCAGGGACACATGGACAGTCTCCAGTCCATCAGGGACACATGGACAGTCTCCAGTCCATCAGGGACACATGGACAGTCTCCAGTCCATCAGGGACACAGACAAAGAGACAAACCACCATCCATCCTCTCAGTAACACTTAGAGTCACAGAAGAACTCCAAAAGTGATTCAAACTGAGAACTCTGGACTCTGCTGCTGTACAGAGTTCTAGTCACTTTTTTATCAATAATAAGTTCTTAATGAGTTTTTAACATTAAAATGTAACCAGGCAGACAAATATTCACATATTTGTAAATTTATTACTATAATTTAAAGTGAGTCGTTCCAATTGATGTTTGTATAGAACAAGTAGAAGATGTGTGTTCATCACATCATCACATCATCCCAGAATAAAACAAACATACATCCCAGGTTTATCTTACATAGTTCCCACATGTTTTATTACCATCAGTTTTATCATTTGAAATATTTCTCAGACTCAAATTTTCTGTCATGGACAAACAGGAAGTACTGTTTAAAAATGTAGAACTTTCAGAGTTAAACTTCCCGTTTTTATGTGTTCATTCTTCTAAAACACACATTAAACTTCTTAAACTTGCAGAGTTATAATCCTAGTTATTAATCTGTTTATTAACCCATTTATTAAACTTGTTGTTAATACAGTTATTAATCAAGTTATTTCAGTAATTATTAATGCAGTTGTTAAACTAGTTATTATTAAACTAAGTGTTAACCCATTCTCCAGATACTAAACGTCTTCTTGGTTTGTTTTTGGTTTTAGTTCTCTCATCGAGCTGCAGTGTCTCAGGATCACTTTGATTTATGTGTCCTGCAGGTCTGAAGCTGAAATTATATTTTAGGTTAAAAGATAAAGCTTTAGGATTGTTAAAGTTGCTGGTTCTKTTGGTCCAAATGTACTGGAGGAGATTTAATATCAGCTGTGGTGCTGGTAAATAATTCCTGGTTTTAACGTTACTGATCCAGGAGTCAGTTTGAGCTAAAACCCTAAAACCCGGTCTGAGAAGAATAATAACTGAGTTTTCTTCTTCAACGTGGTCAAATGAGGAAGAAACAGTACAGTTCTGTGTTTTAGAAAATGGAARTTGTGCAAGTACTTCTGGTAAACGTGGCGACACGCTGCACAGACAGACCTGCAGAGCAGGTTGGTTTTCAATCCAGGCCCTCAAGGACCCCACTGTCCTGCATGTTTGAGCTCTTGCCTGATTTAAATGAATGACTGATCGTCAGGTTTTAGAACTTAAAGACTTACTGAGGAGCAGGGGATCAACTAACACATGCAGGACAGGGGTCCTCCAGGACAACGACTGAAAACCAASTGCTTTTCTCGGGCTATGAAGATATTGATGCGTTATGACTGTTTTTTTTCCATCTCATATTTTACTTTTTATTCTCAGCAGCATTTTGTAACACCCACAGACTAAATTTAATTAATCAGTTTGTAAAACATTTCTATGTACAAACATTAAAAATTAAGTAGGGATGTTGACATTTCCTCAGCAGCTGCTGCCATTTYCTTCCCAAACTGCTGTGACCAGATTTTATAAGGCTGTTCTGTGCGTTTGTTTATAATTTCCTCCTGCTTCGTTATTTCTACGAGTTTCAACAAACCGTGCTGCCGTCAGGTAGTTAGCTACAGCCTCGTCTTCCAGTTTTTAATTTTGGTCGATGTGTTTTGGAAACACTTTTTTTAAATGAAGATCAAATTAAATCACCTGAGTTWTTCTACTGACCTCTTAAATAGATGAGCTGCCATGAAGAACATTATTTTATCTGCCCTTCTTCAAAATTTGATGATTTGAAACGTCGAAGTATGTTTTTTTTATCTGGAACAGCGCTTGTTGCAAAGTGTGTTGACGTTCGTCTTCGTCACCTGACACATTTAACACGCTGTCATTGGTTGAGRAGCTTTGTTTACAACATGTCCACATGGTTTTTAAATTGTTTTAATTTCCTTACTTTCTAAGACACATTAAGTTGATTTGATGCTGCAGTTTGCCTTGTAATGTTACTTCATACCTTTTCTGCTACTTTTGAATTGGCTATTATTAAGTTTTTAGATTTTAGGACAGGGGCACCAGCAGGGGGGACCATAATAGGCTGGCCACCCTAGTGGCCCCCCCGCCCAGTTTTTTCCTCTTGAGTACCCAGGTTTTACCTTTTTCAATTCCCCTACCTATTTAGGAATAGAACCTCATAAATATAAAAACAAGCACTGATTTTTTCAAACAATTAATAGTTAAAAACATTAATTTATATTTTATTTAAAATAAAAATAATTAAATTAAAATTAAAATGTAG